TTCGCTCGCCTGTCCTCACTTATACACCATTCTTCACCTACACCAGACGAACTTCAACAACCCTCCACGCATTCACGGTTAGATCTACATGCGCGCCTCGTTCACTTGTCATCACTTTTATCCCGCTCTTGACTCAATACTGGCGAAGAAAATGTAGCTCGCCCCACAACGCCTTCAGGTTCACGTCCAGGTACACTTATTGATCGCCTGTCCTCATTCTTCTGCTCTCAACCCCACACCGATGAAGAATTCGAACTACCGCAACGCCCAAGGTATCCTCATGTTGTTGAAGTGGCTGCAGTAAAGGACAGAGAGGTATACATCTTTGTGTGCATTTCCCATTGCCATTGTCTAATCATTTCTGTTCAGGTTATATTCACTGCTCCCCCGCCACCAGAAAAAAACAGCAGCAAACCCAATCGCACGCCCAGGAATCATCCACGACACAGCCTGCTTCAGGTACTAATCTTACTACACCATGTCGCAGATACCCACTACCCGTCTGATTATTGGCTCATCTTGTGCTTTTTTTTGCTGCACATCATCTCAGCGCGTTAATAATGGAAATGCACAACTAACACATCAGCAGCAATGCCAATCACAAGGCTAAGTCCATGCCCAAGCATCATTATCGCAAACTCAGCCAGCCGCCCCCTCGACATCCACAACACCTACTGCTCTTGACAGTACTCATACTATCGCACCAGGTGCAGCAAGCCCGTAGCCATGGTACCATTACAGACTTGTTTCGTTCTTCTCCCTGCATGCAGGTGACTCTTACAACTGCAACATATGCACAGTTATCTCACCTTTGCATCTGGTTCTTTTGTAATTATTATTATCTCACTGTTCACGCCAAGAGACTGTATTTGATTTTCGCAACCTCCTTGATCTCGACTTGGCTTTAACGCTATGCCATGAAGTCTAGGCACATTGTCAAGACAGCCGCGATTCAGTCATACAGAAGTCTCCACTCTGTCCCACTGTGACTGAGTCCATACTGTCCATCTGTCCTCGAGAACGGTCTGGTCTGGCATCAGGCTCTCAGCCAAACAGGCCGATGCCTTTAATTACCCTCGCAGTGCCGTTGCTTGAAGCAGCTCTACGGAGCCAAGAGTGCCAACCTGGGACGCACATTCAGTTATCAACTCTCAGGGCGCTTAATGAAAGGCCTAATAGTGCCGCTTAAATTGATCACACAGTCTCCCCAGAAGTCTCTCGTGATAAAACACTATTCTGATTTCCACTGCCCTAACGGCAGCACAGGTCAGCACAATGCGACAGGCGTGTTACGGTGCAGGTAAACTATACTTGACATAAGTGAGTGGCCGTTCTAACCCATGCTTGCAATAAATACTCGTGCAGCGTTTGAGGTTAATTGGACTATTTAGAGTAAGCACGTTAGTAAAAGAGCTAGCAATTATTGAAATGAGCTTGTAGGGAACTTCTCGTTGAAGCAGGGTGGGTGCTGCTCACACCTCGTACGTGAACAGGAGGGGTTCCATTCAGGGGGCATGTAGGTTGAAGTCAAGAACATATCTCCAGAATGGACCACGTGTCATCGACACATAAAAGGTGAGATGTGCATTTGGAACCTGGATAGAGGCACTGCTTCATATCCTACAAGCGTGCTGGAAGAATTGAGGCTACCAGTTCAAAAATAGATGTGCAGAGTAGGGATGGTGTGCAGCACCTTGTTGAATGCGTGCCACAACCATCGATATAGTCCTGAAGATGAACATAGCACCGATCGCAGATGAGAGCCATCGAGTTGGAATATGGGCCGTAAGAAATATGAGGAGTGGGGATTGGGGCACCCCATTGAATGTTTACCATGACCTAGTCCTTATGTATAGGAAAATGGAAATAGTACTGGTCACAGACGGGAGCGCTTAGTCTATATACACAGCCATAAGCTACGAAACGAACACGAGGATAATTCATGGGACGGACCTTGAAAGATGACTTGAACGAATAGATGCCCCAACTTCCTCGACTCCCAACCAGACGTACTCTGACCGCTGGTGATTGAGAAATTGTCTAAACACTGTTGCTCGTAAGTCGATTGGTAACATGCTGTTGGTGAGTTGTTGCATAAATTGCATGTTGCGACCATATGTAAAGGAGTCGATGGTACGGAGCTCTGGTGAGCTAAACCTCCACATGAAGACTGCCAAGTAGCTCTTCATACATGAATAGGAGGGAGTCCATTTGGGGTTCACATGGGTCGAAGTCAAGGACGTGTCCCCGAGATAGATCATACATCATGAACAAATAAAAATGAGGGTAGGAATTACAACAAAAATGATGTGACAGGTTTGTTGTCCGCATCATTTAGACCTGGTATTTGCCTTCCAAAACGTTGAAGGATCTCTATAATCTTTGGGCTCATTCATGAAGTGGCGAACATTCGTGTCGCGTTGTTCTATTCCTGCGTGGGATAAGCGTCATTGTCGTGTCTGAGCAAGGATCAGAGAATTAATACATATGTATGAGACAGCTTTCACGAATGAATCACATAGACTCACGGCTCCTGTCCATAAGATGATATTTCCGCAAGACAAGTTCAAGATGATACAATGGTGGATTCGAGGGATTGCATTAATGTCCCTCAAAGACCATGTCAATGCTCAGGTCGTGCAATACGAAGTCCGAAAATTTCAATAGGAGATCGACTTCTGATGAAGATATGCATTCGAGAGGGGGACAATGGTGGTGACACCCATGAGTCGTCATCACCAAAATTCCCCAGGTCTGAAATTACCTTATGCGGACAATTTCCCACGCCACAATCTTTTACGGACTGATGACGCGATGACGATTGATGGCAGGTTCAACAACACTCCCTCACACATACCTCAACACCCTCCTAAACGCGTAAGGCTGCCATCAGTCTGACGTGCCGCTGGTAAGTTCAGATTTCCCCTGATATGTTATTACCCTATCAATTGACCAATGTGTCACACGACAAAATCATTACATTGTCGTCGATCGTGTTTTTGTCAATGCACACAGTGTTACATTTATGCGTCGTTCGGTGTCACACAGCTTACTCTGCAGCTGGGCTCTGCTTCTTGCGCAACATTCTGTAAATATCATGAAGTTTTGTGTTCAAGTTTTACTACTGACACCAAAAGTTAGAATGTTTTGGGAATTCCAGGCAACTCCATTTCCCTCCTTTCTTCTTACCACCATCTTCCCAACAACTTTTCTCGCTGCCGCTGCCTTCCTCCACTGATTCCACGAGTCTGAGTGTTTTGTGGATTCAGGTAGTATAAAAGGTATTTTTCAATGCATATACTCATGTTTACTAAGTAGATGAGTCTATGGGCCCTTTTGCCACAGTCGAAGGTACATCCCCTCTAGCGACATCGCCGATGGTTCAATGTATTAGTCGTCCCTATTGCTTGCCTGCTCTTGCCTGCCTCGTTGCCTCATGGTCGTCTGCTCTCACTTGCCTGCTCTTGCCTGCCTCATTGCCTCGCAGTGTGGTCTCGCTTGCCAGCCTTGTTGCTGTGTTGTATTTGCTGCCGTCGTGTTGATCCTGTCGTGTTTCGCATTGTTATCATGTTTTCTGGTCGCATATCACATTTTCTGATCGTGAGTCAAGGGATTTGTATCATTAGGTTATAGCACAATTGACAGGAATACAACAGATTTTGTTTTACACACGCAACTGAGAGAAATGTGGCTACAACATTCGACAAGATTACAATGGATGCACAAGATTATATTAGTCTCCACAGCGAGTCTCCTATTGTGAAATATGTTGCTCCCAAATTCATCATATTTTGCGCGATTGCAACCATTTTCAAAGGCCATGTTCAGTTTTTCCTGCAGGGTTGACTTGTGTCACATGTCACTGGGCAGTGCGAGAGTAATGCGATGATCATGTGTGTTATTGATATGTGAACCAAACATCACGTCAATAACACCAAATATTGATAACATTATCTCATCGGCGGTCGCGTCTTAACCCTTAGCCCTACCACCACCATGTTGGCCTGTCGCACTCAAACTCGTCTGATCCCCTATTATGATTATTTCTTGTCGTATGGGACTTCACTTGGAAAGTGTGAGCACACTACATATATACATCATCGGAGTCATCACTAGTGCCCTTGAAAGTCAGAACATGGAACTTTGGAGGGGTAAGCCATCACATAACGAAGTTGGAAGAGCGAAATCAAGTAGTCTAAGCATCCACAATCGTGAGTTCTCAGATTACATGCCAAAATATAGCGCATATATTGACTTTATTTGATCTCACAGTCTTTTGAGAAGATCTTGTCACTCAAAGTGCTAGACAACCCAAACCCTCCCAAGTGGATTCTCCCTTGGCAGGTAATCTAACGAACTATCTGATGCAGAACTCTGCGCAGCTCACGCTACCTGAAAAGGGAGCCAACGAACTTCCGAACATGGGTGTTGACCATCCTAGACTAGCACAATCTAGGTGTGTCTAAGTTTTCGTTTATCCATGTATGTACATTGCTGACAAGCATCTTTGCTCATTTCTGTGTGCTTGTGCATGCCTATGCCTATCTCAACGTGTCTGCATCTGATGTCTTGCACAATAGGTACAATTTTTCACATTTATAACTATAGCTGATCATTTGTGTAGGAACTTATAATGTACAATACCAGGTATCATTTACACACCAACCCAGCTGCACATGGTGGCCACCTCTGCTGGTCTTACATCATGTCATGTGCGTAATTGTTCTTGTGGTTAGCGCTGGCAGGTTTGAAACCTGCTAATAATAACATTTTTATTTTTATTCTATGAAAGCACACCTTGACATATGCTTATGGTCGGTTTGCTTGGATATATTTCTGGATACATCATCCATGAAGATGATAAGAGGAACCGAGTACACCATACATCCTTGAGATCTTGCATGCAATTGATTTGGCACTAGCTTTGCATATTTCCTCAATGACTCCATCAGCCCGCCAGCAAGTTCATTGTCATTTGCAGATATTTCTTGAAATGACCTTCAAAAATTACATGTCAGAATTATTTCTTGCTCATCACTGACAATAAAGCCATCCTAAGTCTATCAGCAAAGTTGAATGTATTTAAAGAATAGGTTCACCTCTGTTTGTTGTACAGTACAGCCAAGTGCGTATAACTGCTTGTCTGTGTTATCACCTGTCGATGTGTACGACACAAGAAAGAAGTGCTCAGGTATAAAGTAGTCCCCTGATGCATCCTGCAAGAGCTCATTCACAAAGTAGATCTCCCTGTCGACTTTAGCTGCAGGAGGCAAAGGGCGTTCAAACAACATTTTCTCTCATACAAATTGTATGTCTCATTGGCTTGATAGAAAGGGCTGCTTGAGATGGCATTCCAGAGATCAGCGACTGGTACTACTTCATGGTCTGATCGTATTGGATGTGGCTCCTGAGTATAGACAGTATTGTCGACGTCCATAGCACTTGAGGTGAACATGTTGTCGCATAAGCGCAGGAATGTAGTGGTTGCTGAAAGTGGAAGGTGCGGGAAAGACATGGCTGCAAAGCGGCCAATGCAGGAGGGGTTTGGATGATAATAGAGATCAAGAACAATAGAAATAGGCGTAGAGTGAAGCGATAACAGATATGATGCAGGCGGCAAACAGATACTGATTGCCAGTAGCTACCAACTGTAGGCTAATGGGAGTTGCTACTGGAAGGTCCAGAAAACAAGCTACTGAATGATATGTACTACTAGTCAGTCTTCCTCTAGAAGTTTCCTTTGGCCAATAGTCAACTGGCATGCACCCACACTTGGGCCCGTCCTCCATCCATGTCCTTTCCATGTCCACCTATCTCTGTTGGTGCGTGTTCATTTTCTCTCGGTTTGACTGAATGATATCAAGGCTTATCACATGTAACTGCGTATTCTGTTCCGCGCGCATTCTCATTACATATTACTTATCTGCCTCATTTCATCGCTATGGTTCTCACCTACGGGTTCTGGATACTCGTGCAGTAGGATAAAGCCTCGCGTGCTACATACAGTACAATACTTCCCTTCCCTCGGACGCTACCTTTGTTTTGCAGAGTCACCTTAGACATTCTTAGTACTTTTGATCAATTGACAAGCCTTGTTCATCCTCACTCTGAACCCGCGTGTTCTTGACCACTCTGAGAACACACCTCTAAGGAACTTGGCGGCTGCATCTACATCTGCAAAGGGGTAAGGGTCATGCAGGTGATGGTCAGAAAATTTGATCATCAGGCATGTGCATAGGAGTGCTTGGATATTGCTATGAAAACCTGCTACCCACATGTGGTTCCTTTTGGTCTTCCTTATGTGATCTTGTTCAATTAGGGAATTAGCGACCTCTTGGAAACTGTGAGCGAGGGTATTGGCAGCTTTGTGTACTTGCCCTTTACCACCTGCAGGTCAGATGAACCTGTTGCATTATAATAGAAACAGATTTTGATTCAGTGGGCCCATGAGTGAAAACTGACAATGGAAGGTTCACAGAGTTCAATATATGACCAAAGTCTTGATGCAAACTCAGAAGGATAAGTACAAGAACAATATAATTCTTTCTAAAGGTCTTGATTTGGTTGAAGAAGAAGAAGAAGAGCAGATTGCACATCAAACTTTCAATTTTGATCCTGATAACCTGGAGAATGAGGAAAAATACAAATCTGTCTATTAAGGCTGAGATTCTTTATTGCGCTCGTTCAAGTGGTTGTCAGAGTCAAAATATATTTGTAATCTGTATAAAGATGTGTATTTTGCATTAACTCGTGATTCATTACATTCCACCATTTTGGATTTCATAGAATGAAAATATTGTTATTGGCAGGTTTCAAACCTGCACAGTTGAAGAGAAACAGATTTTGAATCTGATGACAACTTGACCAAGACCAATGAAGATCAATGTCTGAGATGCTGTCTATGAGCAAATATTTGAGACACACATTCTTAGAGAAAAAATGCGACATTCAACAAGTTTCAAACTTGTTGCGCTCTGATGGAAACAGATTTTTATTCTGTTATGACAGCCACTTAGCTAAATACAACTGTGAACAGTTTGCAAGCAAACCGACCATGAGCAGATTTCAAGGTGTGTTTTCATAGAAAATGAATTTTATTCGCAGGCAGATTTCAAACCTGCACAGTCCAAGAGAAACAGATTTTGACTCTAATGATCACTTGGCAAATTCATCTTTAGCAGGTTTTGAACCCACACAGACAGATTTAGATTCTGTTGTATCAACTACTTGGCTAAGACCAGTTGGATGCACTTTCAATAAATTCATTCAGAAGTGAATTCTCAAGGCACATTTATCTGTATCTTGTCAGTTCTTTTAAATAGCATGATCGCCATTAATGGTAATTTTAAACTTGATTAATATCGCTGTTGGATTTATGCACAAATCAGAAACTTTTTTTTTGCTAAAAACTTACCAGAGGCAAATGCGAGTATTCTTGATGCAAACTTGGAAGGATGAGTACAATAACAATAACAATTTAATTCTTTCCAAAGGTCTTGACTTGTACATCAAACTTTCAAGTTTGATCCTAATGACCTGGAGAAAGGCTGAGATTCTAGCCAAAATGGACGGAGACCATATCATAAGAGCATCAATTTACTGGATGCTGAGTGCTGATATTTTTGTGATAACATGAGAAGCCTCTAAATCTGAATCTAAATGTGTGTGGCTGAACCAACAATTACTTTAAGGTAATCAAAGCTCGATCATTGTTTTATCAGTGATCTGATGTTACTGATTTAGATCTAATGATCTCCCCCACTGCATGCTCACCACCCAAGCCTTTTGCATTAAACAAGATCAAACAGACACAAAAAATATATATCATTTGACAGGTTTCAAACCTGTATGCCTTGATTAGAACAGATTTTGAATTTATTGTGGTGAAATTCATGGCTAAGACCATTTCAGATGAGTTTTTGAGAAAACTATTGATGAGAAAATGTCAAGGTATGATTTCATAGAATAAAAATGTTATCATCAGCAGGTTTCAAATCCACAAAGTCCAAGAGAAACAGATTTTGAATCTGATGACAACTTGACCAAGACCAATGAAGATCAATGTCTGAGATGCTGTCTATGAGCAAATATTTGAGACACACATTCTTAGAGAAAAAATGCGACATTCAACAAGTTTCAAACCTGTTGCACTGCAATAGAAACAGATTTTTATTCTGTTATGACAACCACTGTGCTAGACACAACTCTGATCATCTTGCAAGCAAACTGACCATGAGCATGTGTCAAGGTGCATTTTCATAAAAAATGAATTTTATCATTGGCAGGTTTCAAACCTGCACAGTCCAAGAGAAACAGATTTTGACTCTGATAATTGCTTGGAAATTTCATTTTTTTTAGCAGGTTTTGAACCCACACAGACAGATTTAGATTCTGTTGTATCAACTGCTTGGCTAAGACCAGTTATATGCGCTCCCAATGAACTCATTCAGAAGCGACTTACATACTTTTGTGAGCAAATATTCAAGGCATGTTCTGATAGAAAAAATGTGACATTCAATGGGTTTCAAACTCAAGGGCATGAATTCCATGGATGCTGAGCTTTACTTACATGAGGAAATGTCAGGGTGTAATTGCATAGAATAAAAATATTACCATTGGCAGGTTTGAAACCTGCAAAGTTCAAGAGAAACAGATTTTGACTCTGATGATAACTTGACTAAGGCTAATGAAGATCTATGTCTGAGATACTGTCTATGAGCAGATATTCAAGGCATGTTCTTATGGAAAAAAATGAGCCACTCGACAGGTTTCAAACCTGTTGCACTCAAATAGAAACAGATTTTGATTCTGTCAGGACAACAACTTGCCTAAAACACAACTCTGATGAGCTTGTAATCAAATCGACCATGAGCATGTGTCAGGGTGCGGTATCACAAAAAAATGAATTTTATCATTGGCAGGTTTCAAACCTGCACATTCCAAGAGAAACAGATTTTGACTCTGATAATCACTGGTAATTTCATCTTTAGCAGGTTTTGAACCCGCACACACACAGATTTGAAACAGATTTGGATTCTGTTGTAGCAACTGTTTGACTAACACCAGTTAGATCCATCTTTAAAGAAAACATTCAGAATTGAATCTGCAAGTCAAGTCTACTGTTCCCTGTCACTCGCAATCGCAATGTTTTCCCTCAGCTGAACAGATGAATTGAATACAGACTGCAATACATCACTTTCAAAAAGCGAGAGGAGAGCAACATGATGATGAAAGGTCTCAAATACAGTGCACTTCAACCTTATACATAAGTGAATAATGGCCAGATGGCTCTTTTGAATCTCAGCCTTGACAGATGCACATTCTTTCTCATTCTCCAGGTCATTAGGATTGAACTTGAAAGTTTGATGCGTAATCTGCTCTTCTTCTTCAACCAAGTCAAGACCTTTGGAGAGAATTAAATTGCTCTTGTGCTTATCATTCCGAGTTTGCATCGAGACTTTGGTCATATATTGAACTTTGCATCAAAGATACTTGCATTTGCCTCTGGTAATTTTTTAGAGGAAAAAAGCAGAATAAAAGAATCAACAGTGATTATGCCATTGAAAGAACTGACAAAATGCAGATAAAATGTGTCTTGAGGATTCACTTCTGAATGAGTTCATTGGAAGCGAATCTCACTGGTCTTAGCCAAGCAGTTGATGCAACAGAATATAAATCTGTCTGCGTGGGTTCAAAACCTACTAAAGATCAAGTTGCCAAGTGATTATCAGAGTCAAAATCTGTTTGTCCTGGACTTTGTGGGTTTCAAACCTGCCAATGATAAGTTTCATTTTCTATGAAAATGCACCTTGACACATGCTCATGGGCGGTTTGCTTAAAAGCTCATAGAAACCCCAAAGCATGATTTGAGGCATTTGTGCTCAGGATGCGGAGCCATGTCACATGGAGCCCAGAGATATTCTTGAACAGAGAAAAGTGCATCCACAAACACTATATAAAGCAGATATTTGGGAGCGCGAGCTACAATATGAAAGTACACATGAGTCAATGTCAAGGTGTGTTCTCCCAGGAAAAAACACATATATCATTCATGAGGAAATGTCAAGGTCTGATTGCATAAAATAAAAATGATATCATTGGCAGGTTTTAAACCTGCGCAGTCCAAGAGAAACAGATTTTGACTCTGATGGTCACTTGCAATTTTATCTTTAGCAGGTTTTGAACCCACACAAACAGATTTGAATTCTGTTGTATTAACTGCTTGGCTATAAGACCAGTTGGATGCCCTCTATAAAGAAAATGTTATTATTGGCAGATTAAAAACCTGCACAGTCCAAGAGAAACAGATTTTGACTCTGGTGACAACTCAACTAAGACTGATGAAGATCAGTGTCTGAGAGACCGTCTACCATTAAATATTCAAGACATGTTCTAATAGAAAAAAATGCAGCATTCAATGGGTTTCAAACTGTCAAGGTGCATTTTCATAAAATAAAAATGTTATTTTTGGCAGGTTTCAAACCTGCGCAGTCCAAGGGAAACAGATTTTGACTC